AAACAAAAATGGTGGAGCTTGCGTCACTGAGATCGGTTCGACAACCTCACTCGTCCTAGGCCATATCATCACTGGTCAGTAATCATTCAAGTTCAAGGATCGTCACTCTCGTGCTTATATATGTCAACAATTAGATTGAGGTTATTTCATCAAGCGGTAAACTTGCGGGTGTAAAAATGGCGGAAAAGCTCTAGTCGCGCCGCTCTTGAAAGTTATCTATATAATCCATGCCTACGCTGGAGGAAGTTCAAACTGCCGAGGTGGAACTTAATGCACTAAATTCGCAGTAAGCCAGAAAAATACCAGATTTAGGCAAATATACCAATATACCAGATCTTAAATATTCATACCAGACACCTGAAAATACCAGATTTGTGAAATTTGGTATAGAAATATACCATCTGGCAACGCTGCGCGGCTGAGACAGAGTGAGGCTGAGTGTACACAGATGCCAATCGACTGGACATGATAGGACCGTGTAGTTTCTACCCGGCCCGAAATAGAAAATATCCAGATAAACTAGCTTTTTGAAACACAGCAACATTCCGGTAATGCCCGTAGCAAGGCAATATTCCTGTATGTTTAGTGACTATAACTACGAAGAAGTAGGACGTCTCTTCTTCGTGACTTGCTGCATCCTGAAAATCCCGGTTAGCAGTCATTTGATGTATTGGGCTATTGGCGGCTAGACTTTAGGAGCAGTACGCGCCATAATGTAACAAAATTGCTGAACGTTTTATATGTAATCGGTGCAAGCAATTATCAGATTTAACTATGTCGGCGTATGTAGCTTAACTGAAGAAGCTAGCAAGTACCTGTGAGTACGGTAATTTTGTAAAAGAATCGCTGAAAGATAAGTTCATTCAAGTTTGAACGATTCAACGCTGCAGCGAGAATTATTGAAGAAAGCAGAAGTGACCTTCAAGACAGCAGTGGAGTTTGCTCTCGCCTACGAATTGACAGTAAAAACATCCGAGGGGGCGAGGAAATGCAAGGAGTGAGTGAGAGGTGCAGATTGCTGAAAGCAACTCCATCAATGCCGTGTCTTCAAGGATGAAGACATTGGATAAATATTCAAGGCTTCTAACGGAACCAATGGTTCTTCATTGTCTAAAAAATAACGGTATAGATTTCTGGAAGATAATGCAGAGAATTTTAGTAGGCGTTTATTTCAATAAACTGCTGGTATACATAGGTGATATATTAATTCTTAGCAAGACTGTCGAGGCGAATNGGTAAAAAGGGAGAAGAAATCAGAACCTAATTGCAAGGCTACGAATAAAATTTTATGCAAAGAGTCTTCCCCATAATGTAGAGTTATGGCCATTATTCGCTCTGATATAATTGTAACGTGTATATGGGCCGGCGAATATTGTTTGATTGTAGAGACTCAAATATTTTAGTTATAGCTACAAAAGAGAGTTTTCTATGCAAAATTCATAGAGAACGAAAGAGAAAGCGTAAGTTCAAACATTTTCGACAACGACGCACCCGCTTTCGCTCCGAGTCAGCGCGCGAGGCCCCGCATGTGACCCGACACCCTGGCGACGAATTATTGTGGAGTAGCTACCGTCGCCAGTGGGAGCGGCGCCCCATTCATCACCTTTGAGCTGCTATGTACATTTGGGTCACCTGCGCCTCGTTTACGGGCGTTGCAGCCACATCTATCGTCCTGGATAGGTTACTGTGTCGTGCGATTTCTTCATGAAATTGAGCGATGGCTTCACCAGACATGTGACTTCCCGAACATGTCCATATCACCTGCGATTTAAATATTCGAATGCATGGCGTCGACGACCCATCAGCTAAACGACCTTCTGGCCACCTTTGGCATGGTTTGTCACGTGACCTTGCCTACGCATGACATCTGAGGACTGCAGGAAGTTGTCTTCACGCGTCTTGACCTTTAAATCCAGCCAATCAAGATCGCAATAACCAACCATCGACTACTTCAGTGGACGGTGTCCACTTGCCTGGTGCCAGTGTACAAACCGTTACCTGTCGACCGTGGCGCGGTCATTGCGGGAAATTCCAGACCTCCCGACTATGTGGACCTGATTCATGGTTGGCACTATCAGTCAACGACCTAGTGCAACTCTAGATTACCGAGCAAACCAGTGTATTCGTTGACCTTATTACTGCGTACACAGTTCGGGTACCCCAACCAATCTCCAGAGGTGGGCAGTAGCGCGCTACATGTAGCGGCCGCTACTAGCGGTCGCTACACTTTCAGTAGCGGTAGCGGCTCTACATTTAAGGCAATGTAGCAGTAGCGGTAGCGCCCGCTACATATTTAAGTAGCGATACGAGGTTTTGCCGCTACAGCGCTACCGCTACATTTATAGATAAAGCCTTTAGATNTCTGCGGGGAATACGTAGCGTCAGCCTCTGTCTCTCGAGGCCGGCCTTCGAGGCCCTCGAGGTGGCGCTCGTTCTGACCAGTTTGGACTATGGTAATGCCACACTCTAAGGACTTCCGACCACGGCACCTGAAAAACTGCAATCCGTTAGGCACGCTGCTGCGCGAATCATGTGGAAATAAACGAAAATTTGACCACATGACGCCGATATTGCGCGAGTTTCACTGGCTGAGCATGCTGCAGCACACGCAGTTCAAGGCCGCTGTACTGACGTTCCGATGCCTTCACGGTCCGGCTTGTACGACCTTACATAAGGGAGTGTATGCATGCTGCGGGTGTCCGATCTACTCTCTCGAAGACGACTGCGTTCGTCATCAATAGCGGGCTCAGTCGTTCCATCTACTTGTCTATCTACCGTCGGCGATAGAGCATTCCCGGTCGTCGCCGCCAGAACCTGGAACAGTCTGCCGGCTTCCGTAACATCTGCTCCTTCGTTGCAGGTGCATAGTTAACGCCAAAAGACTGAAATGTTTCACAGAGCCTATGAATTAAGTTCTTAGTCATTTTCGCTTGCTACTAAACTTATGTGTAAGGTGCCCGCGAAGTTCGTTTGTACCAGACGCCATGATAAATGTTCGTAGAATAATAATAATAAAAATAGTCATTAAGTCGATAGTCTCATCCTGTCTCTTTTTTAATGGATTCACTCAGACTCTGGATATACGTACCCATGTCTCTGTTTAGATACTCACCCAGTCTCTGAACGCATGAAGGTTGCGATCAGAAAGCCTAACGCCAGCGAGGATATGGCCAGCAGCCTCTTCTTCGCGCGCCTCATTTCAGGTCACGATTATCGGTGGCTCGTGGAAGACCAACGCTAATTAATCGATATATAAATTAAATCCGTTACCGATGGAATGAATAATTATTATTAATACATTTATCAATCTTGGCATATGTAGATTTTGATTCTGGAAGGGAACGGAAACACAGATTTCCTAAAAATTATTATTTGAGAGGAAAATTTCAGCCTATTTTGCTTTTCATCTGAAAAATATCACAGTAAGACGAATTAAACTAGAGGTGAGCATTTAGCGTAACTTATCTTGAAATAAGAAAGCCTTAGTAGAATAAAAATTATATTGGGCCTGTGTCGAAACTTACCCATTGTAGAGTTTTAAGAATAATAGTCGATAAAATTTAATCTAAACTCTAGGGTGAATTTCATTTATTGTAGGTATGAAAGTTGATGTAAGTCCGAATAAACATTAGAAACAACACGTTCAGATGTTCAGTGTTTGTTCAGGTCATGAAAGGAGTCAACTCTGTGATCTATTCTGCTTTACAAATTTAAATCCAACGTGAGATAATATCTCACAACGCCCATATGTGCTTGTTAAACATTGCCTGTTTTGCCTATTTGTCTTCTTATCAAATAGACAAATAGTCCCCAGTAGTTTAACTCCTCCATCCCGCTGTTCCCGGAAATGAAGGTTCGCTAGGTCCCTTCCAGTTGCCGCGCTGCGCCGAGTGTGAACGGGGTCCAGAGCTGGTACTTTCACACTTTCCCTGACGGTACCTCCAGCAAACGCGTTTCTTACCTATAGAGAGCGCAGCTGAGGCATTTAAATAAGAGAGGGGTAGGGCAACGTTGTGGTCAGGGATTAGGGCGGGCGGGAAGGGGAGGTTCTTCCCACGCTACAACAACCTAAGCACCCTCCATGCTCTCTTTGGACCACTCCATTATTCACGCAATTTCTGCATATAAATGATGCCCCCAGTCTTTACCTATCTTTGCAAATTGGTTTTATGGAAGAAGAAAACATTTGAAGTGACAAGACAGGCTGCGTGATTTACATCTTAGTGCCAATTGTCCAAAATTTAATTCTTTGCATTCAAGACATTCTACGGTAGGTTTGTCAACACAAGCTTTGGCCGCTATGTTTAATGAATCAAAATATCTTCCTTAGGTATCTATTTGTTCTCACTCACTCACTTACTGACTTCAACGTACTGACAGAACTTCATGCCAATTCACTGCAAATTTTTTAGATCAAGTGAAATGTATACACGTGAAAAAGAATAATAACAAACACTTTTGTTATCCGTTTGCACTCTCCAAACGCACTCATTTTTTATTGACTTACTAAATTCCGACCTCATAGGCTTAATCACAGCTTAATTAGGCCTAGTTCCCACGCATTGCTGTCCACCACGTAACACGCACACCAATTCATTGGCGTCGTACACTGAACTGCTGCAACCGAAGTCATCGCCAGAGAGCGCCTCGAACCACCGCATTCAACAACAGGTGTTGTTGCAGGTGTAGTAAACTACGTGGCTCGTGTGTGTGTGTGTGTATGTGTACCGACAAGGCTTCAGAAATGATTGTAAAATGTTATAAATAAGGCATCTTATAGGGCTCTCGATATTTTCTGGCCTTGAATTTAATTTATACTATTCGTATTCGTCCGGTCAGCAAGCGCCGAAATGCGGCTGAACGTGAAATTTGACACGTATGAGTATTCAATCATTTTAACTGGCCTGGCATGCTATTTTATGTTAGGCTCCAGGAGAAATGAAAATAATTTTATTGATGATGGTTGTAGATTGATTTCTAATTATTATTTTACATACATATTACATTATTTTCCCTTCATTCAAGGTTTTATTTTATTCACATAGCTCGAATTGCTAACAGCAGAAACAATTTTATTATGAACAAGATTAAAACAGAACACTTGTGGATTTAAGTCTCGACCATAATCAATATAGCAGTACTAGTAGCTGGCAGAAAGGGCAGTACACTTTCATTGACGCTTATATGCTTCAAATGATCAGAAATTAAAAGTTGTAAACGCTGTTTAATCCTGTCAGTTGCGAAGCCTGCAAATGCCAGCATTGTTTATCCCAGGCCAGCTTCCAGGATTGTACAATTAAGCGATTGAATCTGTACTTTTCACTCGTAAAATGTTCATAAAAAGTAATACATCTCTATCAGCATATAGCCTTATAAATTCTGAGTACGTTATAAATAAATACTTTTAATTCTGTACAAACTTGGATTCGTCTTCACTTGTGCGATTGCAGAATCAGATTTATATTTCATTACAATAATAAAGCGTTTTGTACTTTGCATTGAAGAACAAGCATAAATGTAATCATTTTACGATGGTTTTGCTATTAAAAAATTTAAACATTATTCATGAAACTATGTGAGTAAAAAACACATTGATACTGAAAGGAAACAGACTCAATGAACTCTTTGCTTTCTAGCAGCTTTAAGAAAGTTTATTCATTGGGGTGAATAAATAGGCAATCGTTTTTTATTAAATTTTTCTTATTCTTATCTCAATTATTAATTATTGAGTGAAAGGTGTGAAGTTATGTAATGCAACATGAGCAATTAAGTTATTGAGATAACAGTGAGGATGAGAAATATACAGAACTAGAATTAGAAAATGTTATCAAGGTGAGAAAAAGCCTTCTGTTAGGAATAAATTATTGTCTACGCCAAATAAATTAGCATCGTCGTTGGTGTGAAGAAGTTATTCTCGATACCCATTAACCAAGTTTCTATGAAGCTCGTTAATGCTAATCAACTCATTTTGAATTATTTTATTTATTGTAAATGATTGAATTTGATCACTTCTTTGGAGGAGCAAGACAAAATCGAAGTTTTAAGCCTATCACTGAAAGTAATTCCAATGACGAATGAAGTTGAATTTTTTTTTACACGTAAGCAAGTTTGACGTGAAATAGTGTTATTGCTTCGAGTTTGCTTTATTAACCAACTGAAGGCAGTTCAAGTTTGATAGTTTGAGCCTCGTGTCAGTTACGTTCGTCTTTTAAATAAGATATACCGAAGTTATTTCAATGCAACCTGTCGTGTATTGGATTGATGTACTTAACAGCTGAAACTTAACTTTATTGATGTAACAAACCGCTAAAACGTTATAATGGTGCTGAAAAGAACAATAATTATACAATGGTAATTAAGCGTTTTGAACCAATACAAATTTATTTATCTATAGCCAATAGGCATTTATGATTAAACTAGAGTTATTCAATTGTTTATCACAGTCTGAACTTTCGGTTAACCCAGGCGAGTTCGTAAGAGTTGGAGGTCTGCCTGCCGGTCCTGCCGCCTATGAGCGACCAGCGGTTCGGTTCCATGGATACCAGCTGGAAGTTTAGCGCCGCCAGATGGTGCATGTACCTCCACAGCTGGTCTCTTCTGTTGATGTCCACATCTGTCAAACAGGAGTGAAATAGTAAATATTTTATTTCTCTAGCAGGATGAATAATAATTGAAATTTGGATACATTCATAAAATTTACCAATACCGGACCCAATGAAAGGTATACTTCTGTTGGGACCATGTACATATCATTCATTGAGTTCAACCCGCAATCATTTTTTAAGAACGTCGGTAGATTTCTAGTCGTTATAGTTTAACGCAGTTATCCGTCAACTCATGCATATTATGATTATTGTTATGCATTTAATTTCATTTTTCATCAATAAGAATTACCAACTGTAATCCAAATGTTATGAAATATAAGTTAGCAATACATTTTTAATATTAGCACGGACCAGCGCGTTATAATACCAGGAAATTGTTTTTTGCCAGATTCTTTTACATAACTGTCATAGCCTATGTAAACTGGTCTCCAAACTTCGATTGAGGAGAGAGCGAATTCCGGTTCTTCCTTACAGGATAGCGAATCCCGTGTTTCCTTCGCAATACGAAACACGGTTGTAGGACAATAGATTAGTCTCTTCTTCGACCCATGCACATGCCTCAACTGACTCACTATAGGCGCTTGGTGCAAGCAAGCGATTGACACGAGTTGGCCCTTAAAAAGCCAATACCGCGCCCAATAGCATTCCGAAGTCTAATATGTAGAAGCTTGTGACATAGAAATTCATGGTGAATTTAAAAACTACTCATCTGAATGAATGTACGTTTACATCAGGATTGCGCACAGTTATGAATACTTTATATCCAATATTCTTTTAGCTGCGCACCAATTGATCTATATCACTTAGCATTCATCATCTCCCGGGCTGTCGTACCACAGTCACATAATTGGCTTTATCTCAAAGCAAAATTATTTGAATGTGCAAAGAGAGTATCATTAATAAAAATTTAGTGGTGTGAGGGGCATACAAGAAATTGCCCGCCACTTTCTCATAGATTTAGGCTCTCCTACTTTAAGCTAGGGCAGATACTCAATCAGGAATTTCCTGTACGTACTTAGGTTCGCTAAAATAAAAAAAAATTCAATCTCTACCTAGCATAAAAGGCAATTTAGAATTTAACCGAAAGAGACGGCAATTGAGATTCCCGCTTAAATAATATCACGATCACTCGCTAGAAAGTGTTAACGTTACTCACTGGAATGTCTTTCCAGCATTCAAAAACCGCTTGTACCTAATTACACGAATCTACGTGCCAACCACTTTAACGAATTTTAGTGCCATGCGTTTCACTAATACTCACTTGGATGTATTTCCATGCCTATCTGCTTGACGTTGGCCAGGAGGCTGACGTTGTGAGCCAAGACGTCCTCGAAGAACTGAATCTCGGCGCCCTCGACGTCCATCTTGAGGAAATCGATCACCCGCTCAGTTGCGTTGATCTTCCGCAGGATCGCTGAGTACGTGTCCAACTGCCGGCGAAATGCTCACCAATAAGGGCCAGGATCGTATATTTTAGAATCATCCTAAGATTTCGTACACGACTGGGATTGGCCTATTGGCTGCTTAATCAGGAATTTTTATTATACGTTGCACGATTTGCTGGACAACCTAGCTTTGCCTGGTTCTTCCAATATTACTGTATTAAGGACTGTATTAAGGACATGAATGTGGCTGATTCATGGTCGTTTCTCAAAGACACGGTTATGCCTGCAGTTGATGCCTATGTACCCAAGATTACGCTTGGAGGAGTCAAAAAATCCCAGTGGATGACCAGTGCAGTTAAGACTCAGCTAAAGACCAAGAAAGAAGCCTACAAGCGTTATTTACGAACTCGCAGCGAGTCTGATTATAACCTGTATGCCAGAGCTCGAAATCAAGCTAAAAAAGTTTGTCGCACTGCAGT